ACCATTTCCTTAGAGTTTGAAACATCCGAGGGTTCGTTTCAAGGTGATGCTGCATCTGGTGCATTCTTCACACTGTACTTTGCTGGAGCTTTGTACCACTTCCGTGCAGTAGTGAATACCATACTAGTGATGACCATTCGGCCTAACCCACCGTTCAACCCCGAGACCCTCATGCCTATTCAATGGGAATACACCGACGATGGCGATTTTGCAGACGAGGATGAGGAAACTCTTAGAGAAATGCTGCCCATATGTAAGGAGATCCTTGAAGAATGGAACCTGTTTGTGAACGAGGACAAAACAGAACATGTCCACTTCTACATTGCAGATAAGGACGAGGTAGACGCCAAGGGTGAACCTGTGAAGAACAGAGAGCCCTGGCGCAACACTATTTCTCTTGGATCCAGGCTCTGCAGTAAGGCTTATATCTCTCGCCGATGCATCCTTGCTTACGCTGCCTTTGAGAAATACAGCAAGGTGTGGGCAGAGAAATCCTGCATTTCTCTTCCTGTAAAAATCAAGCTGTATGAAGCATTTGTTACCCCTGTTTTATTGTACAACTGTAACAGCTGGGCAGCTCCACAGAACATTATCAATAAAATTGATGTATGTCAACGCAAACATCTAAGACGTATCATCAACATGATGACCTATCCCCGCATCATCAACAACAAGGACTTGTATGCTCGTTGCAATGTAACTCCAGTTTCAGAGAGAGTTCATAAATCCCGCTGGAAAATGTTTGGGCACATTCTTCGTAGCGACTGCAACTCACCACCACAACTAGCTCTAAATTTTGCTGTTGATAGTATTAGTATGTCAAATATGAGGGGTAGGATTGGTAGATGCATCAATGTAATATTTTTAAAAATATTTTAGACGATTTGAATAAAAGAAATATTTACTTGAATAATAGTGACGACTTGACAGACTTAAGGCATTTAACCTCGAACCGCCAATTGTGGAGAAATTTATTTTGAATTTGTTTAGTTCTAGAATTTCAGTTTTACTTTTAAGTTCAATTTTTTGCATAATTTTTGATTTTGATAATTTTCAGTTTTAAGTTCTGCATTTTTTGCATTTATAGTAAGTTTTCAGTTCTGCAAGTCTTTTAAGTTGACTTATCAGGTCTTTAGGATGTTCTTAGTAACTACTTTGGATTTGTGTAAAGTTTGATAATAATAATAAAATTATACATTTTATACTATTATACCCCTTATATTAACTGTTTTTCCAGGTATTAAGGCTCGTTGGAAGTCGTTCAGCGGGTTTAATTTTGTTTCAAAACATTCTAATTCGATGTCAAAGATGACAAAAATAAAAAATAGTTTATGTGTGGAGGTACGGTTTTTAAGAAATTTGCGCAAAATACGCGCCAGCACTGTTATACATACAAAATACAAGGGCAGGTCTCTCCCGAACGTTGGGATGGCCTGAGGTGCTTATCTCCTTTTCAGTAACCCTAAGCCACCCTGTGCCGAGGCACTATACTAGCTGTAGAGGGTTTAATCCTACGAGCCAGAGAGTGTGTATCACCAGCCAAAGCTGTACCAAATCACAGCTTGGTAACTGGCCGACTTGCATCCGACCGGATTTGAACCCGGGTCTTCTGCTTGGGAGGCGATCGTGTTACCACTACACCACCCGGCCGACGAAATTCGGTAAAAACCCCAAAATCGCCATATTCACTATTCAGGTGCCTTAAAAACCATGTTAAAATTGAGTTAGAGTTCTGAAGCAGTTTTGCAGGGCGTCTAGACGTTGACCAAATCGACCGCAAAAAAAAATCAGGAGTATCGGGAAATTGGTTTTCTGGAACCCCTGTTTTACGATAGATTGTCGTGCTATACACATATATTATATATATTCAGGGATAAACGCTTTGCCAGTCAATTGTAGCATATTGAAGTTAGATAATTGTTCAAACATTCTGAAAATCTATCGGAAAGGTTTTTTTAGCTTGCTCTTCGTAAAAATATTCGCTATCGAAGTTAGTGCTTTTTTGAAGAATAATTTTATAAAAACGCCAATTTTGCGATTTAGTATTTTCTGGTGTTGGGCCGTCCCTTGGGTTGTGGAGCTTAGTTCTGCTTCCTATATAGGTCTATATTGTGTATACGGCTAGTTTTAAAGTTGAAATTCAAAAAGTTGCACACTTGGGGACACGCCCAAATTGATATAAAAATAAAATTGCTAAAATCACTGAAAATTGTTATTTTCACCATTTTCTGTCAACTTTGGATTGCCGTTGTGATTGTATAAAGTTCTTCTTGAAATCTTTTGAAACTTTGCAAGCTTGTCAAACTACTTACTACAGGGCGACCCTTTAATAACTCACGTAATTCTTCTTAGAAGAATTGCACAGAAATTTCAGAGATTATAGATATGGGTCAAATTTAGATTTCCTGAAAGATTCGTCAAATTTAATTAATTAAAGTGGGTTTGGCACGCCAATCTCTCTTTTTAGCTATTGTCACCATAAACTTAAAGTGATGACGATCTGATCCGTTTGAGTGAATACTGATAGTGACGTTCCTTAAAACCGAAGAAATTTGCGTTATAGCGTTTCGGTTGCTGTCCTATAAGTAGTCTCCAACCAATCAGAGCATTTATTGAGTGAAGATGGAAGATATCACTGATTAAGTGCTGGATCACACATCTGCAAGATCTTAAAAGGGTCATAACTGGATTAAATTGTGAACAACCAACTTGAAATTTTGGGAAAGCACTTCAATTATCAAGCCAAATAAAACCAACAAAGCGATGCAATTGAATTGTTGGATGCAACTTTGTAAGTTTGCATGATGCATCAATTTGACTGATTGTTCCCTTTTGACTTTGTGTGCATGCACGCTAAATTCTAAACTTCTCATAGTTTACTTAATACGTGGGCTTAATAATATTGTCACGCGTGGGCAATAACAGTGCGCGAGGGCACGTATGTCATGTACGTACGTTACGTACGGTACGTACGGTCGCAGGCACGCTCACACGGTCGCAAAGCTACCATATACAAAAAAAACCTCGTTCGCTAACCCTATTGTCCTTGACTCTTTTGTGCCTTCGGCACTTTGAGTCATGGATCGGGAAAAAAGGACAGGAATAAAGGAATAAGAAAGCCTGGCGACAATTCCCGGACGTCCGGGGGAGGGGGTGGTTTTGAAAACTCGGTCACACCAGGACATAAGGAGGGTCCAAGTAGATGGCCCCTTGGTCAACTTTCAGCTACTTTTAAAAGTCTTAAATCGTGCAGTATAAATGATAAAAAGTATTGATCGCATAAAAAACAATTACCATGAACAAGCCTAAATCGTCCAACATTTTTGGACGCTGATTCCGAATACAGAGTAGAGAATGCCATTGAACAGCAAGCTCAGAACCTGCACCCAGAAAACCTTACTTATAGTTATACTGGCTGGGCGTGTTCAGTGTTATTAATATAGTAATATAAAAGTGACCGTACTGTCTTCCCAGCGAGCTCTGCATGTTTATCGCGCGCTAAAATTTATTGCACGAGTGACGCATTCCAGCTTCACGTGACACAATTTTGCCAATCAGAGGACATGAATTTGCAAAATTATGAAGTTAAGCGAACTTTTATTTGGCCCAAAATGAGCCTTTTCGCGATAACTCAAAATCTACAGGGTGGGCCAAAAGTTATTGGGCATACGTTGGCCTTAATAGCTCCGCCGTGTTTTACTTTTACTTTTATGTTTGAGAGCTGTTGCTTTGCAGATAACATACTGCATGTACCTTCTGGTTCGAGGAATTTGTCGTCAAGATTTGAAAATTCGAATATTTTAGACCACGCCCATTCATTATTAAAACACTTATATTGTTTTCTCTGAATATGCTGGACGCCTAATTTTTTCAGAGACGGTAGATTATTACATCTTGCATTTGATCAGAAAGGACGAAATTATCAAGCATTTTGTGTATCTCGTTAGTAAAATTTATTGGGTGATTATGCAATGTGACACCGTGATTGGGCAGCCTTAACGATTCCCATAATGTTTAACGGGGTGGTTAACTGGGTCACCTTATCACGTGATTAGCTAAACCAATCACCTGATCACACGTAATGAATAAACTCGTAATTCGAATGGACAAACACAATCCAATAAAATTTGGCTCGATCCGACTATCCAAACTATCAAATAAATGCGAAAATGAACCTTCATTTGAAAAAATGAACTCGAATATTTTTCGATTTGACACTACCTGCAGTGGTGGTAGTAAGTCATACCAGAAAGAATTATTTCAATTGGGCACTCAATGACTGAGCTAATAAGGCCAACGTATGCCCTTTGGCCCACCCTCTACAGTCTACATTTTGCATTGTCTCAAGTTTTCCTCCTAGGAAGGAAAAGTTATTTTTACGAGGCGAACATTTCTTTTACTTTTGGAGATAGGCCCCAGCCAGTATCAAAGTTTCCTGGGCATGTAATTGTAATATGTAAACGATCCATTCCCTGCGGTTTCTTTGCGTTCGCGACTATACCCATTTGCGATGCCACTGTGTGAATGCAGGTATGACTAATCATATATCATCTTAAAGTACACACTCAGACTCGGACATCGCAACCTTAATCAGTTCTGGGGACTGTTCCTGGACAGAGTTATGAAGGTTTAAAGCTTTCGTGCCGCGCAGTCGCCCCAAACTGGCTAAAAATGTGCACCATCGTAGAATAACTTTGCGCAGGGAATACGCGTGCACGTTAATGTGATAGTTAGAATTATATTTGCTACATCTAATTATCAGCTAAGTTCGCTAAGCGTAATATCTTCACATGATCACTCGAGTTCGAATCCGACCCTGACCCTATTCACATTTTCTTATCCGAAACAAGTATTTAAACAACTTTCTAGTGATAATAATTACAATAAAAATGGTTAACCGTAGGATAACTAGTTAGAAGCAACCATATGGAAATAACATTTTACTAATTGTAAGTCATTTTGTACTTTATAAATAAACGCATTCTTTGGAAAATAAAACATTGTCTCACATAAAAACAGATTAACATTTTGATATGATATCAGAGAATATCAGAGGTAAGGTATTCTCATCTCATCGTAGAAAATCCTTGGTACAACTTGACTGCAACTCCCTGAAAGAAATTGAATTGTCTTATAAAGTCTCATATTAAAATGATTACAGGGGTTTCCAGATTTTAGCTATTTTGATTTAACCTTGATTACCTGATTACCCCCTGATTTCAGTAATTTTGGGATGGGCGTCGCCTCCGGCCTCAGTGGGTTGAGAAGTCAAAACTTGGTTTTTATGATGGTTTGGGACATGTACTAACTATTTAACCACCTAAACATGTGCCACATACCCCGGAACATAAATCGCATACGGGGGTAAAGATGCTCAGTCTTGATTTGACCTGGATTTCAGCTATTTTATGATGGGCGTGGCTCCTAGGAGTGGCCTGAGTGGGTTGTGAGATCGAAACTTAGTTTTTATGATGGTTTGGGACAGGTGCTAACTATTTAACCACCTAAACATGTGCCACCTACCCCGGAACATAAATCGCATACGGGGGTCAAGATGCTCAGTATTGATTTGACCTGGATTTCAGCTATTTTGGAATGGGCGTGGCACCTGGGAGTGGCCTGAGTGGGTTGAGAGGTTCAAACTTGATTTTTCCGATGGTTTGGGACAGGTACTAGTTATTCAACCACTAAAACATGTACCACCTACCCGGGAACATAAATCGCATACGGGAGTCAAAATGCTCAGTCTTGATTTGACCTGGATTTCAGCTATTTTGGGATGGGCGTGGCTCCTGGGAGTGGCCTGAGTGGGTTGAGAGGTTCAAACTTGATTTTTGTGATGCTTTGGGACAGGTACTAGTTATTCAACCACTTAAACATGTACCACCTACCCGGGAACATAAATCGCATACGGGGGGTTAAGATGCTCTGTATAGATTTGATCAAGCGAACGCGTGTGCGCGCTCGCGCCAGCCTTTCTGTCAAAGTGTGGCTAAAAAAATTTATTTTCAACACGAAATTAAGAAATTTGCTAGTTTCAGAAGATAAATCCATCAATTTGGGACATTGGGACATCGGAGTGTTGGCTGTATCTGAGTGCTGGGAAGTGATCAGTTAAGCCTCCATTCGGTTTTAGATGTAGTTACAAGCCAGGCTTACGAGTCATCTGAAGTCGCGTAAAATTAACCAGGTTCATGGAATGAACGAAAATGAATATTCTCCTAAAAGTGCTCAGAACAGTTCAAAATTGGTCGGAAAGAGTTAATATTGGTCCTATAGCACGACCCAAACCAAGTTAGTGAGTCACTGCATCTCTGATCTAGGACAAGTGTAACCCTTAATGGTGGTTCCTATTTTGAACAGCTGAACAGAAGCGAAATGACTGAACTGAAGTACTTGCCTAGTTTACTCAGTTTAAAATCAGTGTTTTGTGATTATTGATTCCACTATTACTCTAATAACGAACTTCTCCATGACCATAAACAAGTGGCTCAACAAATTACTGCAGATTTACTATGAATACCAACCTGATATAGAGCCAAAAAGTGATACATTCCCCTGATACAGCATAATTTCAATACATGCTCATTTATGTGATTTTTGACTCATTATGGCACTTTTAACCATCTAAATTCTCTAAATATTAGTTAGCATGATATAATTGTGATTGATAGAGTTTATTGTTACAATCATTCCGTTGATATTCTTATAACATTCATCATTATAAAATACTTAGTCAGAATTAACCCTGTGTGTGATAATTGCATCGTAACTCCACATTTAACCGGTGATTCTTTGCACTTTTAACACTCAACTATCTCAAAAAGATTGCTATTATGTAATCAATACGGTTATTATCACTTTAGTATCCTTATTTCCTACATGTGTAATAAGTAATAACTCACCCAAGAGGGAGACAGCAATCAGAACTGTTGGAGTATTCCAATACCGCCAGAATGTGTCGCCATACACTGTACTACCATTTATAACCTGAGAACCATGTAAGGAAAGGATTAATTTAAACTCATTAGATTCGAAATAATGGCGCTTAATAAAATCTAGTATCTTATTGGGTTATTAAACTAACTTGTCTTCAATCAAAGAAACAAGCTTGGGAAGAACTAGATGTAAATAGGGCGCAAGTTTAATATCGGAGCAGAGCTATTTAATAATACTATGAAACAATAAGTTTTATTTTACATTCCTTTAATCATAAATACCCTAAATAAAATAAGAGCTTAAACCACGAATTAGTTAACTAGAGGTAAACTTGAGGAAATGTTCGTTGGTGATTGTATATAATTATTTAAAAAACTTTATTTGGTTGTTAGTATTTTTATTATGGCAAGTGGTTGAATTTAGGGAAATTCAGTGAGACAAGGTCAGTTTCTATATTGTCTTAGAAAAATTTCTACTTTACAGTAGGCAATGCTGAAGTGGCAGGAATGAGGGACCAAAACACTTGGGGCTCACAATGGCCCATATATATAAATAACGGCAGAGTAGATTGTTAATAGGAAAACCTTCGGTAATGAACTTAAAGACTTACTTGAGAAAATGGTGAACTAATATCACTGTTAATAAAGCACATTTCACACACTGACCTTACTTCTACCAGCAAATTTAAAGACGGGTTGCGATGAATTAAATACGATAAAGCTTTTAAAATTTAAGACGCCGAAGCCTTCGCAAAAGGTAACCGACTTTATGCATACAACGAACTGAGTTTAATTATAACCAGAGTTATACTCGAGGCAGAGAAGATGACGACTATTTTGCGTCTGATACTAATTATACTGGAGAACAATCTCCATTCCTAAAAGCTATCCGACAAAAAAATTACAAAAGCTCAAGTTTCACTCACTGCCTAGTGCCTACTTATCAGCAATATTTCAGTACTGTTGCATAAGTACCTCGAATTCTCAAGAACGGGGACCTTAATGATCCAAACACGTATCGACCAATATCCATACTCCTCTTACTTGGGAAATGTATAGAATACTTTGTTAACCAACAGCTTACCGAGAACGTTGAAACAAATAAACTGCTCACCAACCATCAGTTTAGATACAGGAATAATCAAGGATCTGAGAATATTTTTCCGCCCGAGAGACCTGGAACGGCTCAAGGGACCGCTAAGGATAAAATTTGGCTTGGCAATATATAAACCCACATATCTCAATTTCTGATTGGAGAAAGAAAATCAATGCAACATGGGTATGAAAATGATCAGAATCATCACATTAAGGGGGTAGAACCTGGTTTCAAAGTCATCACGGGTAAGGTTGATGAGTTATGTGACCACGCCCTTCTACGCGTACGCTCTCGCGAGTAACAATTATCACACTTATTTCATGATATCTCAGCTTCTGATTAGAGTGAAGGGCTCATCTTGGGCATACAAATGGTCAGCAAGTTTTTCAAGCTTACAACAGAGTTTGTCACATTTGACATGTTAAGAGCCTATCAATAAAGAAATAATGATTATATATTTGACTTGCCACCAACATCGCACTGGCTAGTGGCTAAGGGGACACATCCCCAAATAGGGCCACATCCCCAGATTACTGGTCTTTCATCCCCAGATTACTGGTCTTTCGACTTTCGTCAAAGACCAGTCCAATATGTTGGTCACATGTTTCTGTAAGAACAAAGATATCGACAACAGATGTGGCGGGAGATGTAAATTCTCAAAGAAAGGTGTGCTTAGCTATGCTTATTGTGTCTGCCAAAACTGATCTGTTGCAACACAGTCAAAGACAGATCAGGCCCACCTAACTCAACCTAACACTCTAAGAGAAAGCAGCCATTGAAACCTTCAAGAAATACACGTAAAAAGGCTAACAAAGACTAATTTCATATATTTCCTAAGAATATTTAGGTATTGATCAATCATTGCATATGAATAATGAACTGTTACTTAACTATCCCGTAAAAGGAAAATCTGACTATTTTATTTATTATCAAGGAAAAGTTTAATGCTATTCATCAAATAGATTAATGATTATCATCCTATATTGAGTTGTGATCGCATGTATCTACTTTACAAATTTATGTCAATTTACTACATAACAATAGATTAATGATTAGCAGAACAGGCTTATTATTTGCAGATGACAGTGCACTATATTTTGATAATATCACTTGAGGCTCGTCTGACAATGTAGTAGAAGTAGTATAAAGATGTCATATGAATGGCTTAGAATTAACAAGCTGAGACGAAATGTTTCAAAATCCTCATTCATGGTATTCGACAAATGTCCTAATCTTGATAGACTGTCGATCCCTCTTGATTTGGAAGATGGCAGTCTTCACATAGAAGAAACCAAATCCCAGAAATACCTAGGTCTGGTGATAGACAACCTATTAAACTTTCAGGACCATATTGATTATGTAAGATCATGTTACTAGGAGAATAGGAGCATTATAAAGGTTTTAAAAAACTACTTCCACAGAAATATAGAAAAATATTTGTAAACGCTCTTATGCTTCCTCAATTTGATTACATGGATATTATAGCTGATATTACATTTTGAATGCTTTCGACTAGTTTCTAGTACAATTGCAATTACAAAAAATTATTTTAATGCAGTCACTCAGATAAGTTTATACCAGGACATATCAACAAAGACACATACTCTGCCCACAATAAGGGGCCATAATTGTTTCAATTATGAAACTGTATAGAATTATTATTATTATTAATAGAGCCCACAATTTAATACTCTGTACTCAGATTAAACTAACTCACCTAGCCAAAGGGATCGGAGAGGGCGAACAGAACTGTTGTATTATTATCCCATGACGTCAGAATGTAGTTCATCTTGAGATTAAAACATTTCCACTACTCTTCATCACATTCTGAAAAATATTATTCATTGATATATAGTATAATTACACAGCAGACTTCTGTTTTGATTTGAACGGGTCATGTTTCATGAGCAAATTAGGAGCCCTTACCACTGCCGTAGATCATAAGTCCATATTTTAGCAACCATATTTGAGAATGATGCATCCTGGACGGCATTCTTTTTCAGATCAATTAACCTGGACAAAAATAATGATCGAGTAGTTACCCTGTCTTCACTGCAAAAATTATTCGATGAATGAAAGATTGTTATTATCACTTATCAAAGGAGATAGCTACAACAAATATCATCAAATGTCTAGTACAATTGCAATTACAAAAAATTATTTTAATGCAGTCACTCAGATAAGTTTATACCAGGACATATCAACAAAGACGCATACTCTGCCCACAATAAGGGGCCATAATTGTTTCAATTATGAAACTTTATAGAATTATTATTATTAATAGAGCCCACAATTTAATACTCTGTACTCAGATTAAACTAACTCACCTAGCCAAAGGGATCGGAGAGGGCGAACAGAACTGTTGTATTATTATCCCATGACGTCAGAATGTAGTTCATCTTGAGATTAAAACATTTCCACTACTCTTCATCACATTCTGAAAAATATTATTCATTGATATATAGTATAATTACACAGCAGACTTCTGTTTTGATTTGAACGGGTCATGTTTCATGAGCAAATTAGGAGCCCTTACCACTGCCGTAGATCATAAGTCCATATTTTAGCAACCATATTTGAGAATGATGCATCCTGGACGGCATTCTTTTTCAGATCAATTCACCTGGACAAAAATAATGATCGAGTAGTTACCCTGTCTTCACTGCAAAAATTATTCGATGAATGAAAGATTGTTATTATCACTTATCAAAGGAGATAGCTACAACAAATATCATCAAATGTCTAGTACAATTGCAATTACAAAAAATTATTTTAATGCAGTCACTCAGATAAGTTTATACCAGGACATATCAACAAAGACACATACTCTGCCCACAATAAGGGGCCATAATTGTTTCAATTATGAAACTGTATAGAATTATTATTATTAATAGAGCCCACAATTTAATACTCTGTACTCAGATTAAACTAACTCACCTAGCCAAAGGGATCGGAGAGGGCGAACAGAACTGTTGTATTATTATCCCATGACGTCAGAATGTAGTTCATCTTGAGATTAAAACATTTCCACTACTCTTCATCACATTCTGAAAAATATTATTCATTGATATATAGTATAATTACACAGCAGACTTCTGTTTTGATTTGAACGGGTCATGTTTCATGAGCAAATTAGGAGCCCTTACCACTGCCGTAGATCATAAGTCCATATTTTAGCAACCATATTTGAGAATGATGCATCCTGGACGGCATTCTTTTTCAGATCAATTAACCTGGACAAAAATAATGATCGAGTAGTTACCCTGTCTTCACTGCAAAAATTATTCGATGAATGAAAGATTGTTATTATCACTTATCAAAGGAGATAGCTACAACAAATATCATCAAATGTCTAGTACAATTGCAATTACAAAAAATTATTTTAATGCAGTCACTCAGATAAGTTTATACCAGGACATATCAACAAAGACACATACTCTGCCCACAATAAGGGGCCATAATTGTTTCAATTATGAAACTGTATAGAATTATTATTATTAATAGAGCCCACAATTTAATACTCTGTACTCAGATTAAACTAACTCACCTAGCCAAAGGGATCGGAGAGGGCGAACAGAACTGTTGTATTATTATCCCATGACGTCAGAATGTAGTTCATCTTAAGATTAAAACATTTCCACTACTCTTCATCACATTCTGAAAAATATTATTCATTGATATATAGTATAATTACACAGCAGACTTCTGTTTTGATTTGAACGGGTCATGTTTCATGAGCAAATTAGGAGCCCTTACCACTGCCGTAGATCATAAGTCCATATTTTAGCAACCATATTTGAGAATGATGCATCGATCCTGGACGGCATTCTTTTTCAGATCAATTAACCTGGACAAAAATAATGATCGAGTAGTTACCCTGTCTTCACTGCAAAAATTATTCGATGAATGAAAGATTGTTATTATCACTTATCAAAGGAGATAGCTACAACAAATATCATCAAGTGTCTAGACGAAAGGTCTTACCTCTATTTTCTGGTTGCGGGTTGGTTGAACATTTTAAAGTCAGCGAGTGCCAGCGGTATCCAATTGCAATTGAACAATGTTAATGAAAGATACAAGCTCACGTGCATTGCATGACTCAACAAACTGGTTACCTTAAACTCAGTTTGTATACTCAAAACGAAAATATTTACTCCGCAAACATTTACAAAGTTTGAAATTTGGATAAAGCTTGGATGCGCGGCTTGACTACTTGACTAGAATTACATTTAAAAATAAAATTTAAAATGTCTTATTTCAATTTTTTGGAATTTTTCCAATCAATGTTAATGACCAAAACTTTATTAAGCCTACCATATACTAGTGTAGCGTAAGAATTATATTAATATATTAATCATGCCAATACCATAATTATCAATACTGAACGCGTAATATTTTTCAATAGCAAATAGAATAAACTACCGTCAATCATTAATTACAAACAGTCGGCTCCATTAAATAAAACAGTATAATCGTTTATGAAATGACCACTTGTATATTTGAATGACAATTATTGCCAAATTTGCAAAACTGAAGTTTAAATTAATAATGAAATATAATTTTGAAATTAGTCGTTGTTGCATTGCGCGCGGCGCGAGTGACTAGCTGTTCGTTCAACGCACTCGCTGCTAATAATGTATGCGTCTAATGCATCATTAATGGAAGGCGCGCCGGTGTAATTTTTGCGCGCGAATTTACGATTTAAACGCCAAGAAACTGCAGGGTTGTCAATTGTCATATGGGTTGCCGTTGTGGGTGATACAAATACAATAAACTAATAAAGAATGCCAATATTTGAGGAGCCGATAAAATTGCTCAATTATCAAAATTCAAATTTCTACTCATCACAACTAACAATATTATATGATAACCAATACCTTTAAAGTCTTTTTTAATCTTTTTTTAAGCATTTCTTAAACTTTTTTTCTAAATAAACAAACTTCACTAAGAAACTATTCATGCTACTTAAAAAATGAAAGTTATACGAAATATAATATTGATAACGTTACAAAAATCGTAAAACAATCACGTAACAGAGGTGTTTCGTACTCTACAAACAGCTGTACCCTAAAGTCTAAAAACATCAATAGTCTACAAACATTAACACTGTTTCGCAGCAACTCTAGATAATCAAGTTCAGCACACACAGGAAACTAGCGAGAACAATTCCGCTGGCTTTGCAGTTAAAGGCGTGAGAGTAATGCCCCATATCTCCCCCCTCCTCGTTACCAGTGTCTCCCCCCTCCTCGTTACCAGTTTCATCCTCTTGCAACGGTAGCCTGTAAGCGGCGATAGCTGTATAGCCACTCTGTACCTGTATCCTTGTGACCTCAGTTAAAGTTATAAAGTTAGTCATATCATATTTAAACGTATCAGTACACGTATCAGCTGACATCAGGAAGTCCATAACTTCGACATCATTAACATGCACTGTTATCCTGTTATCTTTATAGGCAATGGTCCACACTTTTTCATCTTCACTTGGTAGATGATCGGGAAAGACCACAAAACCTGTGCACGACCCTATAACACACCCAGTGGAGGCAGCAAAAATAATCCACATATCCAGTTTGTCCGAATCGTCAAAGAATGTGATCATGAGCTCCTTGTTGCTCTTAACTGGAGAATCGGTCTTAATCTGTATAGATGCTATATCCTTAACATCTAACTCAGGCGACACCTGAGTGCCGGACACTTTTTCTTCTATTTCTGCCCATTCTTCCCATGAGTTTGCTTCAGCCTTGTTTAGTGATAAGGAAACTATTAGCATTACTGCTAATAAATAGACCATCTCGCTTCTTCTTTTCTCCTATAAAATGAATGTGTTTTAAATTTGCAATTAAAATGATATGTACTGCAATTAAAATATTTCAAAATTTTTTGAATATCAGGTAAAACCCCTTACGTGTTATCGATCGCGACGGGCAAACTAATATTAATACTAATAGCCATAGATGGTTCGTGCGCATTTCGCGCTTTTTAAAAACACATTGCACGAAACGATCTAAATTCACGCACTTTTAGGTACCTTTAGGGACTTTGTACCAAATAAACTTATATACAGTAAAACCCCGATTTACTGCTCCCCGATTCACCACAAACCTTGATATACCACGGCCATCTCCTTCCCCCAAATAGGGCTTAACAAGTATAATGTAAACAAACAAAACCCAGATTTACTGCGAACCCCGATTTACTGCGGATGTTACCTTCACAGTGACCTTTACAGTCGGAGATATTTAAAAACTAGCAACTATCTAGTAATTGCTAAGCAAAAGGTAGTGAATATTAATTTTAAAATTTTGGTATTCAAAATATCGAAATACCAAAATTTTCCAACTTTTTATCTTTATGAATACAACTTAATACCACCGTTGTGTTTTAAAATTCGATTGATAATCTTACGACTTTACTACTGATTATCTTACTGTATATATGTAAAGTGAGAAGATATACTATATAGGACCTAGGTATATCTGTTGCCATTTTATTTTTACAGACACCACGGCATCAACTTTAGAATAATAATAATAATAATTTGGTCGACCGCAGTCGGGGAGCCGATTTCCCTGTCTAATTGCATTTCGGCCACGGTCCTTTCGGTACAGATTTCCCTGCAGTATAGTCGAGACGCAACCCCAGGCGTATACACTCGTGTTATTTTCTCAGCTCTAATGAAAGCCACTACCATTCACACCATGGTTTGGTGAGTGACGGCTGCCCTTCAGTTTTTGAGATTTTGGCCCAACTGGGATTCGAACTCGCAACGTCCAGGCCAGTAGACAGGCGGATTAACCGACTGAGCCACTGAGCCACTGCATGGTCAAATGCTTTTATGGCCTTATTATCAGTATACAGAAATAATAACTTGGTCACGGAATAACAACTTAAGGTCCCAAAATTTGGACTCCCAAGTGGTGTCAATTGTAATAGGGGCAGCTATACTCGGCAATAAAGATTCAAGTAACATCAGCTTATAATTGGACTATAACTTATCCCGAAATACTAGGTATCGACGCGAAAGCAACCCAAAGAGATTTTTGCAGCATGTTTTAGAATACTGCTAGGTAGTGTGAGGTATGGTATACAAGAAATAGATCCTTTCTCTAGTAATGAAAATAAGAAGTGAGCAACTCCAGGAAACAGAATACAGAATAGTTCTCTCAATGTAAACAAAAGACGTGGCAAACGTAACGTGGCTCCCTGCCGCTCCTATTCCAACCACAGTACCAGGAGCGCCGTAAATAAACATGAAACATTAAACCGCCGCAAGAGGGTGAAATCAGGGTAATTGGCATTCAAACTAAAGGACAGAGGGCGCCAAGGAATGTAAAACGATCCAATGCAGGGTACAACATCGTGATTGATATAATTAATTAAAACTTATTACAATTCGTAAGTCGTGAATGAATGGGAAAAGCGAGCGACCGATTTCATTCTCGGTATCATTTTGGATTTGCGGACGGTTATTCAAATTAATATCATTTCCTTTTGTTTGGGAAAGAGAGACACTGGCAGCGGTCCACCCTACCCATGATTATGGGTTTTGGTCAAATTTATAAACAGAGAGAATTTAGAGCATTCCTTGAAACATGCAATGCCAATATGGCCTGCAAGACAGGAGCCATACTAAATTACTCTTAATCTATCGTACCCTGCAACGTAGCCAGTTTTATAAATGCATACGTTCCTTGCAACGCGTGATCCTTTAACTCAAACTGATGTATAGTCCTAGGCCTAGTCCTACAGACTGGTAATCTAATTGCCCACGGTCCAGGTAACACAAATTCCAACTGCTCTCTACTTGTTCCGCAGAAGCAATATTAACAGTATTTGGACTTGACTTACTGACTTAAGGCGGCTTCAGCGTCCGAGTATTGATGCGCTGTCTCTATAAAACTCTATCCGCCATAAGTCCGCCCATTTCTCCAGTGTCGTTGAGACCCGTGTCAGCTCGTAGGCTATCAACATAGGTCATGGCTGGTCTCCCCCTACTCCGCACCCCATGAGTTGGTTCCCAGAGTAACAAGCGGTTTGCGACTAGTTCTGGGTGCCGGTGGATATGGCCTGCTAGTCGCATCCTGCGCTCTTGGATCTTCATGGTTGCTCTCGGTAGGTTGCCATAGACTTCTTTGTTGGTTTTTCGTTGCTTCCAATCCACATTAAGTGCCATCCTTAGCATTCTAGTGTAGCAGCCATCAATGCGTTTCTGGATTTAGTTAGTATTTGGAACAGGGGGTTATAATAAGACTCGAACAGGATTTGGCAAATTTGTCCTGGTCCGTTATCTCAGCTTCTGAGTGGTTTAGGTGCAACAAAAAAAACCCACATTCTTGGTTTTATAAACTACTAGAAAACCCGTGGTTACAGGGAGGAAGCTAATAGTATTTTTTGTTAATAAGTTTAAATCGCGTCAAAAAATATCCTACACAACCAAAGATACAGCCGATTAAAAAGTTGCTCGCACTAAACAGTAACACTTAACGTAATTACCACATCAAAATGTCCGATCAAAATGTCGCTCGCAAATCTTTGCACGTGCACGTGCGTGTAACAACCCTCGTTACCATGATTACTATGTAACTTCTTATTTTCACCTAATTTGCACGTGGGCGGTCGTACAGCAGAAATAATTCTTTGAATTATAGTAGAGACTAGAAAACCCGTGGTCACAGGGAGGAAGCTAATAGCATTTTTTGTTCTAGTAAGTTTAAATCGCGTCAAAAAATATCCTAAACAAACGAAGATACAGCCGATTAAAATGTTGCTCGCACTAAACACAACGTAATATCAACAAAACCGATAAAAAATGCCGTTTTAACAATCTTTGCACGTGCACGTGCGTGTAACAACCCTCGTTACCATGGTTACTACTCAAGTTCATAATTTTCGTTTGTTTTGCACGTGGGTGGTCGTACAGCATACATTCTACAAAAATAATTCTTTGAATTATAAGTAAAATGATCATTCCGACAATTTTTTCCCTACTCTTGCCGAAGGCAAAAAGATCGTAGGGAATAAGTAATCGGGTTTGGATATAGGTATGAGGTGGCCCGATGGACCATGCGATGATGACAAAAGTCAACTCCT